CCCCCCCCCCCCACCCCCCTCCACAGACAGCCAGAAGCTATACTCCCCCGGAGGTGTGAGTTGCTCCAACCTCCATCGTCTCGTCCCATCTGTCTCGTCTCGTGTCTCGTCCTCAGTCAAGTCAAGTCAAACCCGCGTCACGTGACCTATGTCGTCACGTGTGACGTCACAACACTGTCCAGCCCGATGTGTGTGGTCTCGTCTGCTCGTCCTATCGTCTCGTCAGTACTCATCATTACTCAAACGTAACCGTTGTATTTAATGGCTACTCCTATAACCTCGTCCTGTCCTGTCGTTCATGAAGTCTTCACGACTTCTGTTATGTCTCGTCTCGTCTTGTCCTTGAAGAACAAAAATGAATATTGAAGCCACATTGTAAATAAACAAAGTGCATTATTATTGAGTATGCTGTATATATATCATGATGATTTTTCTCAGAAAAAAGAGAACGTTTCAGCCATGCATGTCTTAGATGTAAGACAGCCCCGGAGAGAAAAGAGAAGAGAGATAGACTCCTTTTGCCCTGACCATGATCTGTGTTACTTTGTACTGTACCGGGGACCTGTGGGCCCCCACAGCCCATAAATAGACGACATTTGATCCACTTTGGAGCACTTTTTGACTTAATAAAAGTTTACAATGTTTGGAAATGTCCCTGTTTTTTGGAGTGTTCCTGGAACTGTTCCTTTCTGTGCTCAGTAACAATGAATGATGTCTCGTGGTCTTGTGTGTGTCTGTGCTCAGTAACAATGAATGATGCTGTCTCTCGTTACAGTATCATAATGTAGAACAATAATGCTGTCTCTCGTTACACAATCATAATGTAGTTGTGTGTCTCTGGTCTCTCGTTACACACTCATAATGTACATGTACTTGTGTGTCTCTGGTCTCTCGTTACACACTCATAATGTAGAACAATAATGCTGTCTCGTGTGTGCATAATGTAGTTGTGTGTCTCTGTTCTCTCATTACAGACTCATAATGTAGAACAATAATGATGTCTCGTGTGTGTCTCTGGTCTCTCGTTACAGACTCATAATGTAGTTGTGTGTCTCTGTTCTCTCATTACAGACTCATACTACAGCTGCATGGTGCGTAGAACATTTCACAATCATACTACAGCTGTGTGGTGCGTAGAACATTTCACAATCATACTACAGCTGTGTGGTGCGTAGAACATTTCACAATCATACTACAGCTGTGTGGTGCGTA